CAGGGAGCACACATCGTCAACAGCACATTTATCCTAAAACACTTAGCTAACCTGAAAATTTATATGTGAACATTTGAAACTTTTAATAAAAATTATCCACAATGCTATCTATTTTCAATATAGTTTTTTGGTAGATACCTAACTCCTTAGCATCAAGATAAAGTGATGGAGTGTTGGTGCTGTGTTTTTCTGTTAAAAGATGCCAATAAGTAATTAATTACAAAATTATTTTACCTTTAAATTACAGTCATGAATCCAAACTGAACAACCACTGGCTGATTGGTCTACATTCAACATTGATACAAATGTAAATGTGGTGCAAAAATGAATGAGCCTTCAGCCCAGAGAAAAAGATATTTTTTGACTGTACAATACATTTCAGATTTAATGAAGATCTCTTTAAATATGAAACCATTATGAGAATTTAATTCCTGAGCCTTGAAGAAAAACTATTCTGAAAAATCATAATTCAGCCACAGTATCCCCTAGAAGATAAACTGAAGTAAAAGGAGAAAAGTATGTGTCGCAGCTTCTGGCATAGATTGTAAAAATTAGCTTTGGCATAACAATAAAATTTACTCACTGTTTTAAGCAATTTCTGATATTCTTTATTCTTTTAAATTTCAGTTTTATTTTTTAATTTTTTCTTTTATGTTAAATGTTGCAAGATTAAATTTATCTTATTAAATAAAAGATAAAAATTATAAATACACCTTTTTGTGGTGACACTGAAAATGGCCTTCAGCTGGCTAATTATGGTCAATTTTATTAAAACATTTTTCCATATATGTGCCATCTAAATGGTACATTGGCTAAATGAGTTTGCGGTCATCAGGTAAGTAAGTGATTGTCAGTTAAGTGTCACAGACTACTTGAAAATATAAAATACTTTACTAAAAGGGATGCATACTATGAATAGAACAACTTGCATACAAGAAACAACCAAGAATGAAACAGAACAAGATTTGATATAGCAGAATTTATCATACCATTACCAATGACTTCCTAAAGTAATTTAAACAGGTAAAAAATGACTGACATATTATAAGGGAAACTGCACCTGATATCTGGGATATCACTTTTACAACCAAGGTAGCATTTTGCTTTAAAGTTTCCTTTGTACAAAAATAGAGCTAATTCATAACATTTAGTAATTACATTACATGTTGCTTGAAATTCCATTTTAATTATATTACAAATCATCACAGAATATAAATAATACTGCCTTATCAATACTAGTTTTAAAAAAAAGTCTTGTCCACTATTTTGAGCTTTAATTACAAGAAGATATGAATAATTAGTTTTTAAAAGTACTGCAACTATAAATTTAAAATTTCATTTACAAATATAATTCTTAATAACAAATTGTAAAATTTTAAAGAGAAAATTTACAAAAATATCCAATACTTGATTTTACAAATGTAATTGTTAAAAATTCAGCCTTAAAAAATAAATAAAAATGCAAAAAAGGAAAGGAAGGAAACAAAAATATGTTGACTGCAAAGAAATGTACAAGAGAATTTTTACACATTAGCTACTACAACTAGAAATTATAGGAATGATAATCTTTGAGATACTTCATATTAACCCTTTCTACTCAGCAAGTAGCTCTTAGTTGCTGTCTAAGTACAAAACATCAATATATTTTGAAAGGCTGACTTTTGGAATATTTCACATAAACTCTCTGTACTCGAAAAAAGATTCTCAGTCATCTTCCAATGGAAGCAAAGAGTTGCTTCTAATGCAAACATTTTTGTTTTACAGGAATGCTAACTTTTCAGATATGCTGCAGCAACCCCTCAAAAAGTGGCTTTCAGTTGTGTTTCAAGTACCAGAAGTTAAATATTTTCATTTTACAGAAATACAAACCTTTTGAGGTACTTTATATTAATCCTTTGCACTTGAAGCAATCTCAATCATATTTCAATGAAAAGGATTAAAGTTTTGGTTTTACTTTTGAAATACTTTGTATTAACCATTTGCACACACATACACATACACACACACACACACACACACAAAAAAAAAAAAAAAAAAAAGGGTCTTCATATTAACCCTCTGCATCTGTTGGATACCTATGTATTATGACATTGACTGTGAAAGTTGGCAGAGAACCCCCCCCCAACCCCCAAATATGTGCCAATCGTTTCTGCAAAATAATAAAAGAACTGATGCCTCTTCATTTAATAAACAATCAGTATTCGACCCACTTTGTGTTTTCGAGATGTAAAAATGCAACTGTCAATTACAATTTTCTTTTTAGGTCTTCCTATTTTACTGAAAGCTCTGTTTAAAATGCTATAAACTTCCCGCAGGTAATTCTTCCATTCTATTAGTGTTTTGTAAGCCAAATTCAAATGACCATATTGTGTCTATTAATACATACTTTTTCAATGCAAAGATATCATAACTTTGAAAATAATCCACACCTCACTGCTCTCAGAAATTTTAACTATTTTTTTTCAAACTTCAGGGGGGAGAATATAGTAATAACAGTTAATTTATATCCTTGTTCATAAAAACAAAATATGGCTTATCAAGAATCAACTGGAGTTACATTAAATTAAAGCACAAATGTTATGAGTACGTTGTTATGTCACACTTATCCATAACTAGTGCTAAATTGTACTTACTAGCCAACAATTTCACGGTTGACAGGATAATACACAAGTACCAATTTTTGTTTTGCACTAATGATAAACTTCAGATTAAACCTTTAAACTCAAAAGAAAGTTATCCGTCATATTTTGAGGGTTAAGGGTTAAATATTTTTGTGTAACACATACAGTACATATTTTGTAGTAATTTTTTTCCTTTGCAATAAGTACAAGCTCCTAACTAAAATTTTACAGAATTCTATACATGTGACAAATGATTTAAAGGAGAGAGAAGAGAGTCTGAAAATTACATTAAAATACATATAATATTGGTATTCAGAATACACAATAAATGGTGTGTGTAATTGTAAAATAAATAGATATAAAATATTTCACTAATAACCTTAATTATAAATATATAATTAAGGTTATTAGTGAAAGGGTTCTGACAAACTTACGAAAAGGGGGGGAGAGGAAAAGAAATTACTTTTTTTTTTCTTTCCAAACACTAAAAATATCATTAAAAAAAGTATTTATGATCCTCTTCTAAAAGCAATATCTGGTACTGTCTTCTTTAACAGCCCTGGTGAAAAAGAGAACTTGGCACATTGCTACATTGGCAAGAAACAGTTACTGAACTGTGCATGTGCGAGATACAGTTATCAATCTATGCATGTGCAAGAAATGAAAGGTTAACAATCTAATTGGTTTTTCATAATACAGTACAAAGTCTTTAATCCGGACTCGTCGGGACTTCGCGATTCCGGATTATAGATCATCAGTTTAAATCCGGTAACAAGGCACGCAGAAATTATAAAATTAAAAATATGAAACCGTAATTTATGAAATAAAGAAAAATTATGATTTAAAGGGTATAAAAATTTACAAAAAAAAAGGGGGGCTTAATATTTATTTGTTTACTTTATTAAACATTTCTTTCAATTTGAGGTGTTTAAGTTGCTTCGTTTTATGTGCTAATACTTAATATTCTATAAACAGGCATAATTTCTTGTTCAGTTACAAAGTTTCGCTGTTCAAGTCCTGTAATTGCTGTGCCAAAAATACCGACTAACTCGTCAATCGAAATTTTTTCATTTTCACTAACCTCTCTGTCACTTTCTTCATGCCTTTATCCATTTTTTGCAGCAATTCCACTTTTTGTTTGATGGACATTGAAACATGTTTTTGCTTTGCAGATCCTTTGGGAGCTCCAGAATCGGAAACTCTTTTTGACATAATCGAAAGTTCAAGCTTACTTTTTATAAAATTGCTCTAACAGTTTGCAAAAAATAATAAGCCGGATCAAATTAGAAGATTAAGGAACAACAACATTAACTGAAACAGATAATTAGATTATTTTAGCCTAACTTATACCGTCCATTATACATTAAACGCGCATTTGCAAACGTATTATATGCATACGTAAGGGTATTATGCACATGCATAAACACTACGCATGCGCAGAAGAAAGTTTGTAGCTTTGAGGTCCGGATTATAGATCATTCCGGATTATGGACATCCGGATTAAAGATTTTGTACCGTAGAACTGTGTCAATACTTTTAATATTCCATCAATGGGAAAAGAAGATGTAGCTGACGTTTGAGGCATTATTATAGAAGCAGCTGCTGAAATGTGCCTATCAGAAAAAATCTATAAAAAATTAATTTCCCCAAAACTGTATTAAATAAAATAATAAATAGTATTTTTATGGTAAGTTTAATAATATAATTTTTTGGCATGTTTATTTATGTTATTTCAAACAAATTGCATATACAATTCTATTAAACATCACAATTAAAGGACAGAATTATGCTTAGAGTACAAAGTCCGAGATCGAGACGTCCGATATCTGGAATGATCTAAAATCCGGACCTCAATGCCACCAACAACTTAAAAAAATTCTTTTTTTGTATGCTTTATGCATGCGCATTTGATTCTCTCCCCTGCACATAATAAATCACATGGAGAGTACGATTCGTAATTTCACTTCGGCATTAAATAAAATATTTCGTTATTGAGTAAATAATAATTTTAACATGCATTTGTACGATTGAGAATTTGGCTTCAATCCGTATCTACTTGGTGTACATCTCAAATGGAAATATTCCGTAGTATGATTCTAGATCCAGAAAATACCGCTACCGATAGTGCAGAAAGTGGTAGAGAGTTTACTGAAAACGAAAAAATTTTGATTGACAAGTTAGTTGGAATTCTCAAGACAGCAATTACAGGACTTCCACAATGTTAACTAAACAAAACAATTATGTCTTTTGCAGAATTAAAGTATTAGCACAGAAAACAAAGCAACTTAAACATCTTACACTGAAAGAAACGTTTAATAAAGTAAACAAATAAATATTGAGTTTTTTTTTTTCCGATTTTGATACCCCCTTTTTTTTTGTAATTTTGAAGCATTATGATTTTTATCATTATTTCATAAATCCTGACTTCATATTTATTTTTAAATTTTATAATTTCTACATGCCAGCTTACCAGATTTTAAACTGATGATCTAATATCCGGAATCGTGAAAGTTCTGATGAGTCCAGATCTTGGACTTTGTATTACTTTAAATTATTATAGAATTATGCTATATTTTAAACTGCTTACATAACTGTATCAAATATAATAATTAATGTATACATTAAATAAGTTTTGTTTAATTATGTTGTTAGCTGAAATAAATGCTAACAAAATTAAATTAAATACAATAATAGAAATTTATGTCAAATATATATATATTAAATAGACTGTGTTGCACAGATAATGAATGATCATTTATTGTTTACAATAGTTAATTTTTGTTCATCAGCGGCTGAGCAGTAAAAGGTCAACGAAAACTGGTAGTTTGACAGGGTTTGAATCCCAGCTAATGGAATGACTGCATGGGCATTTTTATGGTTTTCTCCATGTAACGTGGATACGAGCCAGTTTCCCTTAGAAAGTCCTGAATGAAAGCAACCTTTTCTTAATCAGATAGCCCTCATGTGATCTGCCACAATTACCGTACTTGACAGCATATAAGACGCACCCTTGTTTAGAAGGCCACACACACGTAGATGTAGAAAAAGTTACGTGTGTCTAGACCTTTATCCGGGCTAAAAATAGCATTCAGTATTGAAAGTTAACCTGCGTCCTTCACGCCTACGACACAGGTAACGTTTTTGAGACCAAATTTAGGAAAAAAAGTGCGTCTTATATGCCGTCAAACACAGTAAATAAAGCAAAGCAAACCAGTAGTTAATTTCATTTTCATGGATGTTTACAACATTTGGCATCAAACTGCAAACTGCACCAATGTCATTCACTTTATCGCAAAGCCTGTTATATAATATATGTTTGCTATATCAAACAGCTTGTTTAATGCAGATAAATTTTCACACACACACACACAAAAAAAAAAAAAAAAAAAAAAAAAAAAAAAAAAAACTACTTAAAAAAACAATTTCTTAACAAATAAAAAAAAACTTACTTTAATTCTGATGCTTTTAGATACACAAAGAATAAGTATCAGAAAATAGTTATACGTAAAATCACACAGAGTTACCGCTTAATACATCCAATTAAAATTTACATATTTCTTTGTAAAATAACATTAACAGAAATTATATATTAACATTTATTCAAAAACTTCGACATTCATGAGAATAAATTCAATCATAAAGTTACATATGCATAAATATGCACATTGTTACTTTGAAATAGATATGTAATAATTATTAGGAATGTTAGTAATGCAATATTTGTACCTCACTTCTAAATTTTATCATAAAAATACATACTGTTACATACAAATATATATGCAAAAATGACTAGGAATTTTATTAATATACTTTTATCTCAATTCTGGTAGGAATAAAAGCACAATACCCTATGAAATAAGGCCAATGTGAGTAAGCAGTCTGATTAATTTACACACACTTCATTGATACAAATATAAGACAATTATTACAATGCAAATTACAAGTTTTAGAAATAAATGCAAAATGCACAATTTTCATACTCACACTGCCTCAAATAAATATACAGTAGAAAATAAAATTTTAAAAGGCAGAAATACAGCAAACGCGTTTAATTCCTTGTGAAAAATATAAATGCAAAAACATACCTGTAAATCGTTTACAACCATATATATATATTTTTTACAAAATCTAAAATGTCACCCCCTTTTCTTAATTGACAGAACTTCTATATGCTATAAAAAGGGCTTAGAAATACTTTTTATTTTATAAATGCATAAATTGACTAGAATTTTACCAAAAATGCATCAAAATAAAATTCCTGAAATCTAAACTATATTTATAAATGGCTATCAGTCATGACATATATAACATATATATACAAAATAAAACAAAAACAAAGATCTTATAGATGTATTCAAATATTCTGATTTAAAAATTAAAGAACACATTAGTCCAAGGTTTTCAAAAATTATTTTATGACGAGCATTAACAACAGATACTTTTTCATCTGATATCTAATATGAGTTAGAAGCTATACAAAATAGTAAGAGCTCTTATAAAATTCAGTGAAAATTACTTTATATACATATGAATATTTATAGGAAAGATAGTTATGCATCAATATGTACATAAATTTATAAAAGAGTCATATTTCTTATTATCTCAATAATTTTATAGAATAGAAATACTTCAATTTCAAATTTAATAAAGACTGCTCTGCTTCAAATGCAGAGCTGTAAAAAAGTGTGAGCATTTCAAAATGTTACTTTGGAAATAAATTCCCAATACAGTTTGCATAAATTTAAGCTAAATATCTCATGCAGGTTATAATCTATAAGTTACCTTGTGCGAATGATAGCAAGTTTACTCCAAGCTTGAAATTCTACTTTATTTTGAAAGAAATTATTTAACCCTTTCCACACATAGCAAAAATTTTAACATACAATCTTTAACCTTTTCATTCCTGATGCAGGGAAACTGCAACCCCTCCCCCAATAGGCTCATGACTTTACAGTGCCGAATGGACACTGTGTACCTAAGTGCTTTTGAAATCAAGCCTAACACCCCCCCCCACACACAAAACAGTTTAAAAATCTGCTTTTTATAGAATCATTTGTGTTTAGTACGTAAGTATTACCACAATCACCTTAAAAGTAATCACTAAATTTTCAAATATGCCAAACTCTGGGAACTCAAGCATATATCAGTTATTCAGTTTTAACCCTCCATGGGTTATGGCTGTAAAATTCCAGAAGGATGGCTTTTCAATTCATTACACACAAAAATTTCTGCCAGCTCCTGGTGCATTCAATTTCAGACTGGATGTATACTGAAAGAAAAGTCAAGGTACAAAGTGAGAGGGTCATACTGGAATTATATTCAAGAAAATACCATTTATTCATGACACTTTGAGGAACTCTGGAATTTCAGGTACACACCCATAATGCTTAGAAGATCAACAAATGGTGTCACCACTTTCCTATACATTCTTTGTTATATTCTGATAATTTTTAAAGACAAATCATATTTTTTAAAAAATTCACTTTTAAAATATGCATTTATGGTTATATGCCTACAGTGGGAGAAACTGAAATAAAATTTTGACAGGAATGCAGTATTTTGTTGCAAATTTGCTAAACTTAACAACAGGAAGGGGGGGGGGATTTAAAAAAATATGAAAAGGGGTCAGATTTTAATGACCATCTAAAAGGGCTCATTTAAAGTTTAAAATGGTTATTGGTACAGATTATCAAGACAGATGGCCCAGGTGGAACAGTGAAACATTTTATATGAGGATAGATGAATAGACATTTAGACTAAACATGGGAACAATCTAAATCTTCCATTAGAAAAGTGAAAAAATATAGAATGTCATTCTGTAAAAATACTAAATGTTTTAAGCATATATATCATAAATTACATTTTATTTCAATCAATCCACTTCAAAAGAAGTAAATAAATCTGTTCACAGTCTCCAGCTAACCCATTTTTTGCCTTTTTAGTTTTGTTATTACACACAGTTTTCTTCGCACATATGACACATACAATTCAACAACAAAATCACAAAATTTTTAAAAGCAGCATATGTTTACAATTCCTGATTCAGTGTTAAGTGCTGCCATCAATTTTCTATTTTTATCAGTCTCTTCTTAGTTCATCATATCAATTTTCAGTTTTCTTAATAAGATGACATACAAAACATTGTTTTGTCTTACTTTATTTATTAATTAACTATCAAGTTCTTTGTATTTACCCCACATAAAATTCAATTCAACAGCAAAATCACAAAATAATTAAAAACAGCATATTTTTAGAATTCCCAATAGAGTGTTAGAGGTTGCCACACACATTTTTATACAGTCAAAAGTTGTTAATTCGGACACCCATAATCCGGAATGATCTACAATCCGGACCTCAAAGCTAAAAACTTTCTGCGCATGCTCCGCTTTGACACATGCACATAGGCGTTTACGCGTGCGTGTAAGACCTTTATGACTGCGTATATGCGTGTGCGCAAGTGCAGAATATGTTTTCACGTGCACGTTTTATGTATAACGGACGATATAAGCTAATTATCTATTTCAGTTAATGTTGATGATTGCGTTATTCCTTAATCTTTGAATTGGATCCGGCTTATTATTTTTTGCAGACTGTAAGAGCAATTTTATAAAAGTAAACTTGAACTTTCGATTATGCCAAATAGAATTTCCGATGCTGGAGCTCCCAAAGGATCTACAAAACGAAAGTATGTTTCGATGTCCATCAAACAAAAAGTGGAATTGCTGCAAAAAAAGGATAAAGACATGAAGAAGGTGACTGAGAGGTTAGTGAAAACGAAAAATTTCGATTGACAAGTTAGTCGGTATTCTCGGCACAGCAATTACGAGACTTGAATAGCGAAACTTTGTAACTGAACAAGAAATTATGTCTGTTTATAGAATTAAAGAGAAAGTATTATCACATAAAACGAAGCAACTTAAACAACTTATATTGAAAGAAATGTTTAATAAAGTAAACAAATAAATATTATTATTATTTTTGTAAATTTTGATACCCTTTAGATCATAATTGTTCTTCATTTCATAAATTACGGTTTCATATTTTTAATTTTAGAATTTCTGCATGCCATCTTAAAACTGATGATCTATAATCTGGAAAAATCAATAATCCAGAATCACCGAAGTCCCGACGAGTCCGGATTAACGACTTTTGACTGTATTCACTATACTATTTCTTTAAAAAATAGCCATCTGTACGGCCAGGCATCTAAAATAGTTATCATAAAAAGAAAAATATATAATGATTTTAAAGAGTCCAGCTGGCATAATTTCATAAAAAATACTAAATATTTCTAATCAGACATCTCATGACTTGAATACATGTTCATTTACATTAATCACAAGTACAAATATATTCTTAAGAACTCTTAAATCACTTAGTTTATTACTCAATAACCTCCCACATTAAATTTGCAAGTATCTTAAATTTCACTGAATGCCAATGTGCTAGAAGATAAAAAGCATTTTATTTCTGGCTGCAGCAACACATTGCTTTCATGGGTTGAGTTTCTTAATTAAAAATGAAAGATAAATATCTTGCATTTTCCTGAGAATCAACAGTCTCCTACACTAGAGAAAAATGCTTTATTTTGAGTAGTGTTGTCACTGCTTGCTTTCAAATCACTGAGTCTGTTTATCAACAATTCCTTAAAATTTTACACAAATGAATAAACAATAAAAATTCAAATTTTGGGCTTCTAGGTGCACATTCAGGTGGATGGCTTTGTTAAAACTGGACCGTCTAAGTACCGTGATTTTTCAAAAATCTGAGGAACATATACTGATATATTTAGATTCTTCATTATTTAATTCCTTAAAAATAATACAAGGCAATAACATTTTGTGGCAACAATTTCAAAAGTGAAATAATGCAAAATCCCATTCCGAGACTAAAAGCCCTTTTCAGGCTAATAATATTCTTAAGAACTGAGCCTATTGCTTTTAAATAGCTTAGTTTGTTAATCTACAGAGATTCAATTAGAAAGATGAAACAAATACCTTGACATTTTGTTAAATGGCAACAGACTCGAATGAAATGTGACATGACATATTTACAGTGAACAACATTTAAGGTGAATCCACACAAAATAATTGCATTTTGAAATCGATAATCCTCATGGGCTTAAAAAAAAAAGTGCTGTAAGTAAGTTTATTTGATTTTTAGAATAAATATCTAATTAAATATGCATGTATGTAACAAATATATATATTTTTAACAATTATACATCATTTGTCCTCTTTTAAAAAAATGCCAGACTGTGCTAAAACATTCTCGACATTCTCATATATTTTATTTCAATCTTTTTTTTTTATATAAATCTGTATAAAATAATTTTCATTTACACAATTAAAACTGAATTTAAGACAAAATGCAATATTACTTATAATGATTATGCTCACAAAAATAGAAATATTTGTATACATTAATCTGTTATTAAAAGCCAACTGATCACACTTAATATTATATTTTGAATATTGTTATTGAACTGGCTTAGTGCTATCCATCTCTATACAAAGAACGTAAAATGGTACTATTCAGTTTCGAAGGCCGTAAAAAAATTACAGCGAAAATGTACACGCAAAAGCACCCATCTAACAGCTGGGCAAATCTAGCGTACGCGCCGATTTCAGATTGCATAAGTTTATATAGTTCTATATTTCTTAAGATGCCATTGAAATATTAATTTAATTTTTAAATCCTTTTTTGATATCCTATGGATTTAACAATTTGGGAATAGCCCATGACGAAAAGTCGGCAATTTTTGGTAATTTGGGTAACGTGCAGAATCACCCACTGCTTGACGTGTTTTTAAGAATTGCACATACTCGGTATCCATGCGCACATCGACCTATTTTCACTTAAAAAAAAATCCTAGAATTGCACAAAAATGGCACTGCGCACACCCTTGACTTTATCTATGTACACATCAACCTATTTTCACTTAAAAAGTAAAAGAAAATTGACAAAAATCTAATTGTTTTTACCCTTGTAAAAAGCGGCAAACAAATAAGTGAACGATTCTGCACTTTACCGAGAATATTTTCAAAGAAAAGACACCATTCATTATAGAAAATTATGTTTGAACAACCAACGAGATGAAATTATGCTTTAGCGATACGTCGGTAGCGAAATAGCGATGCAGGCATCCGTTCAGTTATGTTTAGCAATTTTTATATAAATTATAATAATGATCTGAAACAGTTTTTACTCTTATGCTTCCATTCAGTCGGTTTAGGCTTTTTTCATATAAATTATAATAATAAAAAGAGTATTATATGAAATTAACCTTTCATCTAAATTAAAACATCAATCTTAAATAGTTATTTACTATTATACTTCCTTTCTTGCCACAATTATTAGGGTTGCCGCAACTATTTTTGGCAGCATTGGCATCAACAATAGTTTGGCGGTTTTTTGCGACCCTCGAAACCGAATAGTACCAAAATTACAATCCCTTTTCACATGAATTTTTAAGCACTATAATTAGATAAAATATTAACAGATGACTTCAAGAATAATATCAAAATCTAAAATCCCAACAAACACTGTAATTCGTTTTAACAATATCAACAATAGTTTGGCGGTTTTTTGCGACCCTCGAAAAATTCAAATGATCAACACATATATTACAGCCCTCTATTTTTACAGTTAGCAGTAACAAACTATTCAACTCAACTAGTTTAGCAAATGCTAGTATAACTCAGAAATTCAAATATGTAGATCTAGTTAAGTTAAATTAAAAATTGTTATTTACTAGTCTTTTTATTTTTATGTTTTGATTGTTGCATATAGTTTATTTTAGGTTTACATGCATAATTTGTGTTGGGGAACTTTCCAGTAGGCAAGAGTTTCTAAATTACTTTTCCTACTCTTAATTCATTATTTTAACTCTAGTCATTTACTTGCTATTTACTCAAAATTCCACTGTTTAAATTTAGTACTCGTAAAATATATCGCTTATTGTGATGAACAAGTGGGTTCATGTTTGCAAAACATATATTAGTGAATATTTTCTATTGAATTAAGTTTCCAAATAAAAGATGAAATTGTCAAATAATGTAACATTGATATATATCACAAAGTAAGGAATTATGTAGCTATACACCTCAGTTTTAATGAATCGTTGATTCACATTCAGTAATTTAAAAGCAATGTGCTGCCACTCGACAAAGCGCAAAATAGTTATGTCTCAAATTTAATCAAAAAACTCAATTTAAAAAATGTGCTGCCACTAACCAAAGTATAAAATATTTGTCTTCCACATTTCATCAACAAACTTTGCATTTTAAAAGAAATGTGTTGCCCTTGCCCGAAATAAAATACTTTTTATGTGCCAGCCATTTCATAAAGAGTAAGATCTTTTTTTTTTCAAATTAAACCTGCATATTACTCATTAACAAACTAAGCAATCTGAACGAAATAAATGCAGTTCTTCAGTTCTAATACAGTCTCTGCTATTATTAATTACCAGCTGAACTCATTAAAATCATTATACATTTTTTCTGTTTTTAATAATTCTTTTAGGTTGCTGGCCATACCAGCAGTTAGTGTAACAATCACTTTAAAAATTCAAATGATCAACACATATATTAGAGCCCTCTATTTTTACAGTTAGCAGTAACAAACTATTCAACTCAACTAGTTTAGCAAATGCTAGTATAACTCAGAAATTCAAATATGTAGATCTAGTTAAGTTTAAATTAAAACTTGTATTTACTAGTCTTTTTATTTTTATTTTTTGATTGTTGCTATAGTTTATTTAGGTTTACATGCATAATTTGTTGGGGAACTTTCCAGTAGGCAAGAGTTTCTAAATTACTTTTCCTACTCTTAATTCATTATTTTAACTCTAGTCATTTACTTGCTATTTACTCAAAATTCCACTGTTTAAATTTCTTTTTTAGTAATTCACAACATTTGATTTTACTTTTACCCTTGCCTATATGGATGATGAAACACGAATTGAGTAATTGAAGAGTTAGGTTTAGGGCAACTTTCCCTTGATAAGTCTGTCTCCAGCCTGCTCAACAATTATTCACTAATGCAATTTTTAGGAATAATAAATTTAATTTTTTGGAGCAATATATTTTTTCATGGTTTTAGATAAGTGCAATTAATTTGCATATGCTCCTGGAATTTAAATGATGTTGCAAATTAGTTCACAGCAATAATAATTATTTTCATTGCAATTAAATTTCATTGCAATTTCTTTGCAATTAAAATTTCTTAATTGTAATTTAATTTTTGCTTTATACGAATATAGAATATTTGTTATATATTATTGCAATATTTATATATAAAATTAGAAGTGCTTTTATTGAATGATACATTTATAAACACACTTTCATTTGGCACTGAACAGCCTACTAACCACCATTGTGCATTTCAAGTTAGATGAATAAACTATTAAATAATAATTGTAACAAGGCTGAAACCCAAGAGATTCCACTGAACCAAGCTAATAGGATGTTACGGACCACACAGAGATGAGAAAATTGTATGTGCGGTCCCCACAAGTCACTGCATTCAAGCTCTTACGATGTGCCACACGACATGGTCTGACACTGCAGACGCAAAAATTCATTCCAGTTGACAGTACAAAGGACATAATTTCATGACCAGTGGCAAGAGATTTTAGCATTCTACATTGTGTCTGTCATTGAAGCTTCTTCATTTCAGGAGGAATGAATGATCTTGTTTTTCCTGTGATATCGTTCCAGATATAATGAATCAGAGGATGTAAAATACTACTGGAAAATTAAGGAGGCTTGGCTAATTCAGGCTGCAGATTTTTTCCATCACAATAACATGCCAGAATGCTCTTGAACTCTCGACTAGACAGACCCTGGTTAATGGTTTCTCACATCACGAGGACTGTACTTCACTACAATAATTGTTCTATGCTATCCATGAATTATATAATGTAAAGAGTTTCACGTAATTGTAATACATTTTGAGTTCAAAAAAATGCAATGGGTATAAGGAACCTCACAAATGTACTAACTATTCAGAGTTGTCAGAAGCACTATCTGCCGCCAGCCACCACAAGGTATTCTAACACCACACATTCACTAAGGTGCTTTTTTTACTGAATCCAAAATGATGTAGTGAACAGCCACTGATAATTATCACATTCAATATAGGGGACCTATAGAGGGAAGCTAATCCACATCCTGCATGGAACACTGGGAGTGAAAAGGTTAAGAAAATGCAACTCTTTTGGCTCACTATTTTTAATATTTCAAGAATTTTCTTGAAACCTGTTAGGAAAAGCATCTATAAACCTAAATGCTTTTCTTTTTTAGTTAAACATTTTGTAAAGCACACACTTTTCTTGATATTTTGTTTTAAAAATAAAATGAATAACATGGCTTTAAAATTAAGAAATTTCAGTTGCTATTTTATACACAGTTTGCTTTAACTTGCTCTCAGTGGTACAAAATACAATGCAAATACTTTGTTTGAATATCTACAAATAACATATTTCCTGAAAGTGAAAGCATTTGAAAATCTGTTTAAGTACTGAACAGTAAAATCCCTAAAAACCACCCTGAAAAACATAACTTTACTAAAAAGCAAATTCTAAAAACTTAAGTTGAAAAGAATTGTCTCAAAAGGTTTTAATTATCAGTTATTTAGTCTCATTTTAGATAATTTTGTTAATATTTAAGGGGGGGAACCATTCTTAAATTCTTTACTTTTGAAACAAGGTGAGAAATAACATTTAATAACTGGAAAACAAATATCTCATTAGCAAACAATTTCAATAAGAGATCCCCCCCCCAAAAAGTTAAAATCACAAAAATACAGAATAATAATGTTTTTGCTAAGCGTTGCCATCTACAGTAAACTGTTAGTTCAATTAATGCTAGATAATAAAATTTTATCATGAATTGCATATTTATGTAATACTTAAAATTAAATCAAAAAGGTCAAAACAGAATTTTCAATAGTATGAAATGAAATTTGATGGTCTAGAAGAAAGTTAACCTGTTGCCTTTCTTTCATGTTTAGCTGCATTTGCAGAAAATAAAGATTTCTTTGTGTATATAAAGAGGCACATCCTAACGTCCCACTTTTACCATACTGTAAACCAAGCCATAATTCTAATTTAATTTAGTAAAATTCTTTGATTTCTGATTTAAAAATTGAAAAAAATTAGGTGACATATGCAATATAGGAGACTAAAAATCTTCAATTCATTAAGATCAAATATAGAGATATTTCATTTTCTTATAAACTATGTGATAAGGGATAAGATTCCTTTCATAACTTTACTAAGGTAAACAAAGACCCAGATTCTAATTTTCGAACATTGACATAGCCTATTACAAATTAAGAAACAATCTGTTAAAACTATATTTATTACATAACAACAAATAGAATGCAAAATTGAACTTTCAATAATACAAGATATGAATTTAAAATGTTCTTTCTAAGATTATAGTGGTATAAAAATAGTATGATTTGCTTCTTTGAACTTTTTTGAAGTTCTCTATTACTGCATACACAGCCTTTTAGGCATACTGCAAAATATAAGCATCAAAATTATTCTGAAATGCACTATACTTTCGAATCTACCACAAAACCAAAGGCAATTGAAGTCAATCTCCGAACACTAAAATGACACTAAAAACTGGGCAAATGAGCAATCTTATATTTTGGCTTCAAATTTTTAATAAAACTTTCTTGATTTTGATGGCAATTAAACACAAGTCCTTTTTCTTCAAATGCAAAAAAGTGGTAGATAATTTTTAAATGGTATTCCAAAAATAAAATAGTATATGTTGTTTACAAAGATATAAGATTCATAAGAAGATTGTCATTTTTAATTTAAAATTCAATACTAATTGGCTTTGAATTTAAATAAAAATGCTTTGTGCATAAAAAAGGGGGATTTGACAATCTTCTGACTGCAGCAAAAACCTTTTTTTTTTTTTTTTCCATTTATGGAGCTAAATTTAAATCCTGTTTCTACCACTGCTTAATGCAGTGGTCTCAAATTGGTGGCCCGAAAGCAATAGAGAAAATGTACAATGTCACATGGAATAAACTCAACTGATTTTGCTAATATAGCATATTATATAGCAGTTCTTTTCCCTTTCTTTCCTTAAATTTCAGTTCTTTTTCCAAAAACTGTACAGATACGCACAACAGAATTTCATACACCTTTTTTTAAAAGCGATAAATAATTTACTGATATATTTTCCATATTATTTTATAACAGCACATGCAGAATTTAACTTATCTCTGAAAAATACATTATTTTATTTAAGCTTATTTCTATGTTTTATCAAAAAATTTTAATTCAATTAGGGAGATTTAAACAATTTTTTAAATTATCAACAGAAAAAAAAAATCCAATTACAACTTCTATTAAAATACTAATAATAAAAAAAGAACCTTAATTCAAAGTTATAAATTCAAGAAAAATAAATATACATTTTAAAGGTTTTTTTTTTTTTTTTTTTTTAACAAAACAATACGTCTTTTCACTCAATCCAATATACTATGCATACATACTAACATGTCACTGCTCGAGAGTAAGGCAGAGGTGTTAAACATTTACCTTCATGAGTCATGATCCACTAAGCAAGAGGAAATGAAACATATAATGGAGACAAAACAATTTTAGGAGCAACAGGTTGATGCAAACACCAAGAAAATCCACAGATAAGATTAGGTTAGGTTAGCACTGACAGCTTGCATTAGATGGTGTTGTATGCTCATTCAGTCTAGCACCTTTAGAAGCACTGACTAAGCTGGGATCAGAATCAAGACTTTCAGACATTTTGTCACAGATGATGTCCACCAAACGCTCAAAAACTGCTTTGACATTGACATTTTCTTTTGCTGACGTCTCGAAAAACTCCAAACCTAGCTGATCAGACAATTGTTTTCCTCTTTCGGTTGATACCACTCGTTCGTCTTCCATATCGCACTTATTTCCGACCAGTACCACTTGGGCATTATCCCATGAATACGTCTTAATTTGTGTGACCCTAAAAGGGGTAATCTACAGTTAAACACAAGGATACATACATACATATATATATATGATAAAAACTTGGAGTAAGCTGCAATGGATTGATGATGGTTGTCAGCATTATAACTTGGAGAGACTTTACTACATAATTAGAAAGATGGCACTCGAAAGAGAGACTTGTAAACAAACATAGCCAAATTGAATATAACCTTTATTGGTGGATATGAACTAATTATCAAAAACATATCTTTCATCACGCATGATCACAGGTGCAACAGGCACACCACAATTTTATACAGAGTATCACATTTTAAATAATGGCATAGTTAGCAGCGCGACAAAGGACAGCATTCAAGCAGCGACAGAGCTATAAGCTAAATGCGCATTTATCCAATCTGGTAGTCTGTTAAGGGAAAGGTTTTGGCCTTTATGAATTTAACAGATTGGTTGGAAAAATTCTCCAGCAGTTTTCCAAAGAACCCTTAGACAAATTTTAAACAAATATCAGATTCAGTTAGTTTTAGATTATTTTGATGATATGATACTATTTCCCCCAAATTTTGACGATTACCTAAAACATCTTAATACAATATTTGACATATGTGAAAAAGTGAATTTAAAATTGAAACAATCTAAATGTAATTTTGCTAAAGAAAAGATAAATTTCGTAGGAAAATATCAGCCTCGTAATACAAATATTGAAGTTATTAAAAAATTACTACCTCCTAAAAAATGTTAAAGAATTACAGATTTGTAGGAAATATTAATGTTCCTATGAATTCATTCAAAATTAAGCCAAAATTAGAATCCCTTTAACAAATTTATTTAAAAAAGATACTCCCTGTTAATGGACAAATGAATGTCAAATAGCCTTTCAAAATTTAATTGATGCATTAATTTCTAGAACCCATTTTTAACTTTATTTAATCCAAAATATCCTTGTCATGTATTTGTAGATGCATCTAAAGAAGCTATTGGTGCAGTTTTGAAACGATAGCACCCAGATGGCAATTTACATCCAACTGCTTTCCATTCTTGAAAATTATGGTCTTGCGAGCAAAATTATGCAATTGCTGAACTAGAGCGTTTAGCCATTGCTGATGCCATAGATAAATTTTATTATTATTTACATGGTAATCATTTTACTGTACATACTGGTCATGCTGCCCAAGTTTGCCTAAAGAACACTACAGGTAGATTATTCAGATGGTCATTAAAATTATACATGTATGACTTGACTATGATATAAAATATAAGAAGGTTTCTACCAATATTGAAGCTAATATGTCAACTAAAAATCCTATTTGTCAATATTTGAGTTTGCAAGTAAATTTATCATCGTTAGAAGAAATTAAATAGCATATAAATTTAGATAATGTAGTTATTTTAAGTATAAGAAAACTAATTATATGTTAACTATTAAGAAACAAATGTATAAAATTGTAATACCAATATATCTTCTTACTAAATTACTTGAAAAATTCATATTGAATTTGGTGATATTAGGGTATTTTCAAGACTAAATTTATTATCCCCTCAATATTATTGAGCAAGAATTGTACAAGATATTAGAAATTGTGAAGTCTGTCAATTTAATAAGAAAATGAAAATTTTGAAGGCTCCTACACCTCATAATTTTTTCGTATAATTATTTTATTTTTTATTAATGGAGTGCAAGTTTGTTTTTATATATATGGAATGCATGTGCAGGTCAAAAAGGCCAGTTTCCTTTAAACAAAGAACAAAGGCCTTTATAAGCAACTAACCAGGGCAGCCCTTAACTGCTGATGAAATACATCAGTTAGTTTAAGTGGATTTGCCCAGCAGATGAAAATATTTGTATTAGAGAAAGCTGTGAGATCTTCTAGTTTTGCATAAAATAAGAAAATGAGAAATATAACAATAACAGTAAAAAACAATTTTAGTCATATTATTATAAAATTTATGATATGATGTTAAAATATAGCAATGAAAATTAGTTATGTTTTGAAAATTTTGAAATTTGTTGTGATTATTCAAAATAAGCAATGCGTGTGCAAAATTTTTACAAATGTGAAACTGTGTGCAAAGCTTTGGCCTTCCCTTCAGAGGCCCATAAAGTATTATCTAGGTTTATACTTTTCAATTATTTTAAACAAATATTTTGGGCAAAGTTTTATTTGCATTTTTCAAATTATTTCTCTTCATTTGCTAATTTTTTAGTGCTTCCTCTCTAAAAAAGCTTTTCTCTCACCAAGCCATTTTCTTCTTGAAGGGAAGAAGGGGATATACGTCAAATATAAAATATCTATCTTTCAAATAATAAATTAATAATAGCCCTTTAACTCCCATCTTCATTCTAAAAATAATCATAGCATTTCTGGACTGCATCATTTCTAGATTAATCTATGCCACAAAGCTTGCGTAATGCTGATGACATAGTAAGTAGGCACCTAAACTCTAATAGCTGAAGCCTTTCTAACTCAAACTAAAATCTCTCTCTTCGTGAGCTTCCATATTGGATAACTACACACTTTAGCCTCTCTCTCTATGCTGCCTGCATGTAATTTCGCTGTGCCACGCTTCCTATTGCAAAAGTCATGAAAATTCCATGCAGTTGATCTATTCCGTCGCTGAAAATAGAAGTCCAAGAAGAATTCGATAGTGTTCTCTGGCTTCAGGTAATTAGATTTCTCACTTTGAATTTGGAACTAGAAATATAATTACAAAGAATCTCCACTAGAGGAGATCATAATTCATTATATTTTTCCACCATATAAATCTGGTTAAACATGTTTCCTCGTTATAAATGACAGAAGTTTTTTTTCAATAATTCCCTGATATTTTAAAGGAAAATTTCATGTATTTTTTTTTTTTTTTTTTTCTTGTAGCAGTGTTAAAAATAATCGTTGATTGAAACCACACTAATTTTAACTAACAATCTGAAAATGACACAAATGATGTGAACTCTTTCATAATTATATTGCTCATTAGCATTAAAAAAACTTAAACTTGGGTTGAAGATTACCTCAAGAGTTTTTTTCTTTAATTTCTTAATTTAGATGCCATACAGTCTGATAATACATACTGATAAGTCTGGTTATACTACAGCCATATTAGTGGCCGATAAAAACGCTAAATATTAGTTGTTCGATTTGGATTCAAACTCAGACGAACGAATGCGATGGCTGTATGGTATTTTTCCATGTATAACATGAGTATGAGCTATTTGTTAGAAAGAGTTTTTGAAGGCATCTTTCTACTTAAAAGCAAATAGTCCTCGTGTGTTTTGCTGTATTCAAATAATCCTAGCCTTCAAATTATGGCACCTATCACTCTAAAAAGATGAAAGTTTTTTAAACAAGATTTTTAAATCGCGCTGTGGGGGTTCCAGTGGCCAATCGCTAAAACCGCTGAATACTGGTAATTCGACGTGGGTTCAAATCCTAACGAACGCGCTTGTTCTATGAAAGTTTTCCAGGGTTTTTCTACGTTCAGTGTGGATGAGATCTAGTTTCCAATAGAAATTCCCTCCATGATAGTTTTAGTCCTCTTGCGCAGATTCCAAATCCATTAAATTTTCTTTATTAAATACAATTATAATTCTTTCTTTTTAGAGAAATCGCAGGGGAAAAAATTGTAAACATCAAATCGAGTGCGATTATGAATATTTTAAAATAGTTAACATTTTGAGTGGGAAAGCTTTTTTAATACGTTCATAAGCAACTGAAAATATCTACAACATAAACGATATTTCTATTTGAAAAATTAGCGACAGTAGACTTTTAGAAGCTAGAGACTATGTTTTAATGTTATGATTCACATTTCAACATGGTATTAAAATTACTGGACCTTCTTTGCCCATTCATAATAATGAGACTGCAGATGCTCTAAAAATATTCCCAACAAAAAGAAGAATCAATCATACACTATATTTGAATGGAACTGAGTTCCAATCATTTCCATGTCAATTTTACCCAGAAAAAAGATTATCAGTTGGCTTAAATTCAAAAATGAACTACATTATAACCTTCCATTCATCAGAATAAGGGGAGGGGTGAAAAAGGAATTTGAAAGAAAAGATTATTTTTACAAAATGACTCAAAATTTCCTGAGCTAGTAGTCAAAAGTCGTTAATTCTGACACCCATAATCCGGACCCCAAAGCTACAAACTTTCTGCGCATATGCGTGCATGTAAGACCTTTACGGCTGCGAATAAGCATGTGCGCATGCGCATAAGACGTTTACGCATGCGCGTTTAATGTATAATGGACGGTATAAGCTAAACTAAAATCATCTAATTCAGGTAATGTCACAAATTGCGTTGTTCCTAAATCTTCAAATTGGATCCGCCTTATTATTTTTTGCAGACTGTTAGAGCAATTTTATAAAAGTAAGCTTGAACTATCGATTATGTCAAAAAGAATTTCCGATTCTCGACCTACCAAAGGATCTACAAAGCGAAAGCATGTTTCGATGTCCATCAAACAAAAATTGGAATTGCTGCAAAAAATGGATAAAGGCATCTCCTTTGTTTCTCTACCCATTCCGAAATCTGTTTATCAATTTCACGCTTGCACTGTGCGGGAAAGGGGGACGTGTCGAGGCATCGTTCAATGAGTCTGGAAGTTGATCTGTCAGCAACTATCCTAATCTCCAGGACAGATGTTTTTATTTTATTCAGCTTATAATTCCTTACTAAATGTAGTATTTTTATCTCGATGTACTCCGTCTTTGATATGATTTAAATCAAATTTCTCATCATTATAAATATCACGAATACACATCAAATAGTTTTTCAACTTAAACAACTTACATTGAAAGAAATGTTTCATTAAGTAAACAAATAAATATAAGCTTTTTCTTTTTGTAAATTTTGATACCTTTAGATCATAATTGCTCTTTATTTCATAAATTACGGTTTCATATTTTTAATTTTATAATTTCTGCATGCATCTTACCAGATTTAAACTGATGATCTATAATCCGGGAAAATCGATAATCCGGAATCACCGAAGTCCCGATGAGTCCGGATTAACAACTTTTGACTGTATAAGTAGTTATGCAACTCAATTAAATATTTGTGAAAATTCTGTTGACCTCTCACAATCTTACCAATATTTCTGTATAGATACAAACCATAATTAAATATCGATAATGAGTATCATAGATAGTGGAGCATATAGAATAAACATCACAATAGTACCAAAGCAGCCACTTTGACAAATGAAGAGAACTGTCAGGAATCGCGTACGAATGTCACATACATGCTTTATAATACCAAGAATGTTATAAAAATGATGGTTATGTGATATCAACAATTTACCGAGCTTTCCGAAATGTTTAAAAATATAATATTTAAGAGTCAACAAGTTTGTTAAAAAAATTGTATGCATTTTAATCACGGTGTTTTGTCGCTATAAGCAGAAGCTTGTCATCGATTTTTAAATTATTTCTCGATCAGCTACCGAGTTCGAATTTTGTACTCGCATGGATTACGATGAAATATGGCGTGGCAAACCGAGTTTTTATAAATTCGAATTAGGGTCTTAAATTTAATGTTGAAAAATTTTTGTGCATATTTTCCATTTGCATCATTTTACAGTGTAAAAAGCTTTTTAAATAAAATTTGCATGAAATTAACATAATTTCTGATTTTGGGCAAATTTTTAAATCTTTATACTTTTATGAGGTAAGAGGATTCTTGGAAGTAAAAGACTGAACCAAAAGGAGAAAAATAATTTGTTGTACAGATTAATGGGAATAAGAGCCCCTTTGAAAAATTCCTGTACAGTCTTAAAACAAGAATAATAGATTCTTAAATAACGAAATCAAATAATCAAATTGCATTGTCAAAAGTATAAGATTTATAAATTTATCAAGAAAGCCGCATGTTTTTTTTATTATTCCTGATATAAATTTGTAGAATATTTTTTAAAGAGAATTATTTTATGTGTTCCCAGTAAATTATATAATACATTATTTTTCTCATTTTAATTCATTAATAATTTTATTAGTCATAAATAAAAGTTTATTTTGTAAAAACTTATTTATTTTATTCAATAATTGTTGGTAATAAATTTGTTTCCTTAGAGTCAGTGTAAGGCCTTTATCTCAAAACATCAAGAAGACCCTGTGCTAATGACAGCCATTAACAGCCATTACCCATTATCGTCAGGGGTGTGTCCACCCTTGTCCCCTTAGGCAATGGGGGTTGGAAGAGGTACAAAAATCCGGTGTAGTCTTTCTTGGTGTATCTTTTCGCTATTACAAAAACACGGGATGATCCGTTTTTGAGGGTACATTTAAACTAACAATAATCCGTAACGAACCGTTAAGAGACCTGCATAAAAGAACGAGAAAATACGGGTCAAACCGTTAAAGGCACTGGGTGTAGGAAAATGGCAAAAATGTGGTTTGGTTATTTGATTATGGCAAAGAACTCCTAAGAGAAGGTTAGGTTATTTAAAGACTGCACACACGAAAGGGCTATCTGCGTAAGAGATAGAGCACATTCACTAAAGACTTTAGGGAAACTAGCTCACATTTACATAGGTCCAAATTGGATTCGAACTCCCAGTATTTAATGGTCTTAACTACTCGGACACTGATAGGATTACACATATAATAACTAACAGGGGGAAAATAGAATAGAATATGGGATAAAAACTGTAGAATAAAATATGGAACAGAACAGGGCAGTAATCGTGAAGAACCTTTCAAAGAAACTTGGCCACATCAAACATGGGAAGAACTATGAAAATGCCAATGTAGCCAACCGATTCACCTAACATCAAAGCTAGAACAAACTACCAGTGCTCAACAATTTTACCACTTGGCTACTATTGGGAGCGAAATGGCATAATGCATTTGATATTAGTGAAAACTGTGCCAATTAACCAGCAATAAATTAATATGGCTTTAAGGAAGTTTTTGCTCTTATATGTAGTATTAAATAATGTTAATATTTAACTCCAGTTGTGAAAATTGTTCCACAGTTGTTCTCCAATTGTTCCTCCAGTCATGTAACATTACTTACAGAAACACGATTTGAACATATGTAGTCCTCCAGCCAGACATGAGATTTAGAAATCCATATTTTAAATTAAAAAAAAAATGATTTGATTTATGTGTGAACTTAATGAAATTTTGACTGACAAATTTAGTAATTTAAAAGAAATGTATTGCAACTTGCTTGAAATAAAACATTTATCTTCCACCGCAGGTGTGCTGGCATTGGAGGAAGCGTTATACTCAAATTTAATATGTCTGCTACTGATTCACAAACAAAGCGATTTAAATGCAATAAACGCAGTTCTGAAATATATATTTGTTAACTTTTTAATCTGATTGACTTAAATCGAAACACATTTAATTCATGAAATCGTTTATTTCAGTAAGCCAATCCTTTATTAAAATTTTCATAGTGTTTATAACTGAGCTATAAAGAACATGCATTATTATGAAAATACACAAATATAGTTACGTTATTGATAGGAAGAATTGTGATGCTATTATTGCTGTGATACTGTCATGTTACTGTTATAAAGAAACTTAAATCAACTTTACTTTTCCCTCTCAATATTTCGGGCTTCTTATAAAATGGTTCTAATTATTTTTTTTAATGAAAAGAGCAGTGTTTATGGGCCATAAAGATGGCCAAGCAAATTATTTTCTCCAATCATAAAGTCACCAACAAATTGGTGCCTCGTCATAGAAATGAGAATAACCAGAAAGCCAGAAAAATGATTACATTAGGTTTTAGTGACAAAAAGCATTTTATAGAAAATTATTTTTAGATACCTTTTGGTGTGCAGATATTATAAACAAAAAACAAAAGAAAAAGAAAAAATATAAATGATATTTATTTTACAATTGTAATCTGCAGTTCCATTTATTTACCCCAGAATTCAATAACATAACAAGAAAGATGATCATTTTGGGGAAAGATAAAATATATTTTCATCAAAATTTTACTATATATCAACAAGTGAGGAAATATAGTAGTGCACTAAAGGAAAAGCAAATGCCTAAGAACTTTTCCCCAAATGATTCCAAAAACATAAATAAAACCACCAAAAAATCAAATACTAGCGAACTAGCAAAGCATAGAATGGACATACCAGTCATGAACACTATTGAAAGATTCTTCATTTGTAACATCATACATAAGAATAAAGCCCATGGCTCCGCGATAATAAGCTGTAGTGATAGTTCTGTAACGCTCTTGTCCAGCTGTATCCTAAGAAAACATGATGCAAACAGCATTAACATACTCATGAAGTCTTATTATTATCAATACAAACAAAAGAAATAAATAAATGAAGAAAAAATTATTCAACACATTTTAAAATTTTATTCAACCTTTCAGAATTTTACACAAATTAAAGACTTGCAAAAGATGTCCAAAATTACAGACAATTACTGGTTTATGAATACAATGTCCCCTTACAAAAAATGTTATACAGGCAGATAAAAACAGAAGAACTTTAATAATTAATTAAGAAGGTAACACTTTTCAGCAGGTCGAAGTTGAAGCAGGGTCACTATCTGTATATTTCTATAGGTATATATTAGATATCACTAGGCCTTGATAACTGTTAAGCTTCTGACCCAGTTTTGAAGAGGACCTAAGGAAGGACAGCACAAGGGTCTCCACAATCTCCTAAGAGGACTTTGGCTAGCAGTACCTTCTTGTTGCACAGATAGTCTACACTTGCAAACAAACTGCTGGCCATCCAAAATGCAACACCTTGAAGAAAGCATCTAAACAGCATGAAACTTGGATCAAGTGTAAGCACAAACTTGCATCAATGAAACATGTGCTTACGATGATATGATTATAATATCAGTGTACATGCCCATCATGGGCAACTGAGCGGAAAGAATGTTTGAATAATGTAAATTGCTTAAATTGAATAATGTACATTTGAATGTTTGAAATTGTAAACTGTTCTCTTGCAAGATTCTTGCTGTTTGCAGCTTCAATATGACTTATAGACAAATATGGGCATTATTCAATCATGTTTCCGAGTTTAACCGAGGCAGAATCATTGCATACACAGGCTGTGCATTATTCAATCATGTTTCCGAGTTTAACCGAGGCAGAATTATTGCATACACAGGCTGTGGATTATCTTTCCAGGAAATCGATCATCATGTTGGATGTAGCCAAACAACAGAGATGTGGATATGGAACTGGTGGATGGAGAAGAGAACAAATGATGGACAGTAGCAACCACCTAATTGCACCACTCGATGAGAAGACAGTCATATTTTGCACATGGCACTGATGAAGCACACTGTCACATCCGAAACTACATCACAATGAATGCAGTCTGTAACATAATAATTGGTGTCTACATGAACAATATGACATCCTTTGTAGAACAATTGATAATCAGCTCATTTCCATTGCTTCACTTACTTTTAATTTTAAACCCCAAGCATTTGTGTTTGCAATGCTGCACTGAATGACGAAGATGGATTCCAAATGACATGGCATCATGTATTTAGACAAAGCACGTTTCTGCCTGCAGTAACCACGATGGTGGGATTAGAGTTTTGAGACATTGTGGAGAAAGGCTGCTCGACTGTTGGGTTGTGCATCGTTGTACTAGTCCTGCATCATGTTTATTGGGGGCACCATGTTTGGGTTGAATTACACTCTCCCTAGTATGGATTATAAGTAAACTTACCAGCCAATGCTATATCTCTAAAGTTTTGCAGGCTGTTCTCCTTGTTTATTTTCAGGGCTTGCTTTCGGCCACATTTCAAAAGGACAATATGCAACCCCACATTGCACACAACGTTCAAGATTCCTTCTTAGCCTACCGTATAGCACTGTTACCACCTTGGCCTACCCATTCTCCAGATCTACTACCCATCTAGCATGACTGGTTAACGATTGGAGAACATCTCACCAGGTACACCATATGAAACATTGACTACATTACTACTGTGGAAGCACCATGGGCTGCCATTCCATATTAACACATCCAAAGCCTCTTTCACTCAATGCTGCGGTGCATATTAGCGATTACTGACAAATTCAAGGCAACATTCATTACTAATTTACTTGTCTTCCTCATTTCAAAGAAGGCTGTATTTCAATTTAATTAAAATTGATACTATGTGTAATCTCTGAAATAAATTTGGCTTTGATATCGCTTGTCCTTTGTGTCACATTTTAGATGTCCAGCAGCATACATGCCGTCTCTGAAATTCAAACTCAAACTCATCAGTAAGGTAGTCGGGATCACTAACCATTATACCAAATGGGAGGTAATCCTCTGCGGCAGCAGTTCCCAAACTTTTCTATTTTCTTTGCATACCCCTTAATAAGACTAATTATATAGTACTCGCAAGTTTTTCTTTAAAACTTATGACTTCTTCCTTCCAACATAAATTACTACTGTATTATTGTAATATTAGAAAATTTATAGACTGTAATAAGTTAGGTTTGAATATAATCAAGCACGGATTGATAATAAAAAAGCACAATGACAACATATAATTTTAAATCAAAATATCGCCGTAGCATAATTATTTGCTGTATCAACTTTGGTAAAAAGGAAATGTGAAAATGAGCGAATTAGTGAATTTATTGACAATTAATAACCATAATAAAATTTTAAAAATATTCTTGAACTAGTGATATACCACAGTAAAATACTAAACCTATTAAATATAACTTTGCCCACACTAAACTTAAGACTCGATCAGTAAGAAAAAAATATGCCTTAAACATAAAATGAATAATAAGCTAAAAATCAATAAAAAGGCACTGCTGAACGCGATATTTGAAAATCTAGATTAAATTTGAAGCAATAAAGTCTTAGACCAGGAATAGCATCATATTTATTATGGTAACTGTTTTGACACAAGCTCAGAATTTTGAAAAAAGCAAAAACAATTTTAAATGCCTTCTCAGTTATGTCTTCATGCTCTCTTGGGCCAATTAGTCGAAAACTTTTTTAAGAATAAAAAGGAAATTTATTTTTCCTTTTATTCAATAACAAATTTAAGCTTCCTAAATAGTTTGCTTTTCTAATAGAATTATAATTCTAATGCTTTCCACCATTAGTGATAACATTTTTACATAACCTTAATTAAGCCATCACTTATACCGAGAACCACTGCTCTACAGAAATATCGGGTCAGTCCATAAGTTCGTGCGCATTAAGAGTATGCGTGGAATTCACTATGATGCATTTACTAAAACAATACAATTTTGAACCTGTTGAAACTTGTCATTTTGACTAACATATTATTCAGTTCATCACCAACTTTCGTAAATATCGAACACATTTTAGTACCCATAGAAGATGAATATAGATAAACAGTACAAACGTGCTGTGCTACATTTTTTATTTTCGTGTGGTGAATCTGCCAGGTTTGCAACAATAAAAATTAATAGTGCACATGGTGAATATGCTATTAGTGTAAGGACTGCCACGAAATGGTTTAAAAAATGTAAAGTTGGAAAAAGCAGCATTGATGATGAACCCTATTCAGGACGTTTTGAACTGTTAGAACCAAATTAAACGATTAATTCAGAAGTTTATAGTGAACAACTTTGCCGTCTAAACTCAGAACTGATAAAAAAATGCCCACGATTGGTAAATATCAAGAAAATGTTGTTTCATCATGATAACGCTAGATTGCATACAGCTCAAACAATGCTGCAAAAAATTAGTGAATTTAATTGGAAGCTTTTTCCACATCCTGCTTAGTCTCCAGATATTACCCCGAGTGATTTTTCACTTATTTCGTGCCGTACAAAATTTTTACTGGGGAAAAAATTAAATTCTAAATAGGATGTACACTAAGAAATTTCAAGTTTTTTTGCATCAAAACCAGAGTCTTTCTACAGCAATGGCATAAAAAAGCTGCCTGTAAGATGGCAAGACATTGTAGATAATGGAGGAAAATATATAATTGATTAAAATGTTAAATTGTGTTTTTTTTATATTTAAAAATTTACCAAAAAATGCACACGAATTTATAGACTGACCCAATTAATAATATAAATATCCTTTATAAAATTTTATAGGATTATTTATAAAGTTTTCACACAGCAGATTTCTATAGAAATATTTTTTTATAAAATCATACAGAAATCTTATAACACCTTTGTAATATTTCTTGAAGTTTTCAGACTGTAATCAAAGCAAGCTTTTAGTTTCTGGTATACTGATGAATCATTTCTGGATAGAAATTTTTGCCTTCTCCTTTCAGACTGATATTTCATGCAATTTTTTGTACAGTGCTGTTTACATAATCTAGAAGTTATAACTTGTAAAAGGGTAAAATGAATTTGTCATGAAATTAGTTAAACCTTCGGTGGTTGTGAAATTAAGTTCTTTCTTCCCATATACACAAGATATCTATCAGTCATAAATTTGTAATGGGAGCTGGTTCATTTGCACACACTGCTGTCTGTAACTAGAATGAGAGCTGAGCTTGTTTGTTAAAGATTTTGCAATTAATGGCAAAAATACTATTTAACTGTAAAACGTTAATTTCTGAAATGAATTTTTTAAATTATTATATATGAATCACACGGATAAAAGATATTATTTAATTAAACTTAATTATCATTTAAAATGCATTTATTTTTTATTAATTATTTTTTAAATCAAAATAATACTGATATTTTTCATTTGAAAGAAAATCATGTCTGTTCCAAAACTGTTTATTCCCCTCCCCTTTCCATATCATAGATCAGTTTGGTCCAGTTTCCTATAAATTTAATCTGATATTTTCAGTAAAATTCTATTAGTGATTAGAGATGCTAAGGCCAAAAAGAATCAGTGGTAATTTTCATAAATTTACAGGAATTATTTTTGAAGGTTTAAATATAGAATATTGGGTAAAAATGACAAAGGAGAAGCCTTCGTGTATGTATACAAATGATAACAGATAAAGAAATTCAAGAAAGTTCCATTAAAAAAATTAACTACCAGCACGATTCTATGTTAAGAAAAATGAAAATAATAAAAAATAATTTTCTTAAATTCTAAGGGTAAAGATACACTGGAATTCGGATCATTAACTGGAGTTATAGGGTTTTTATGAAAGTGAAACGCCTCTAAAAAATCTAATTTGAAAATAGATTACTTTTTTTTGGAATAATTTTGACCAGAAAAAAGATAAATGTGATTTTTGACCAATAATGTTGGGGAAAAGAGGATTTATGTTTGTTTTTATTTCCTTCTAACATATGTTTCATGTTTCTTAGTGCAAAATTTTATGGCTCTTTTAGTTTGACCACTGTATATTAAACCACACTGGCAAGGAATACAGTTTATATATCAGGAGTTTACATCCAGAATGGGATCTTTAAGTACAGAACTGCAAATTTTATTGATAGAGTAAAAAACAACATGAAAGTTAAACTTCTGTAAAAAGTGCGCAGTTTTATAACTAACCAACAAAAAGAAAGCAATGACTGCAAAATTTTTACAGTGTTTATCATTAAGTCGAGATGAGAATTTTTTAACCGCTTGGTTAATGACACTAGGTGCTTCTGCTTTGCTTAAGAGCAGATAACGTAAAAACTCACATTACACATAATTTAATTCTTAAACAATGGAATTTATGGAAATGTAGTGTGAAAAATTGCAAGCAAAATGTTAGAATGTGAGTTGACAAATTCATGCAATTCTCTAATTTTTCTAAGTGAAAACACCGAGTACTTCATTGTGTACTCGGTATTGTGTACTCGGTCCCAGCTCATGCAACAATAGCATGAGCAATGCCAAGAACAGCAAATAACAGTTGCAGAAACAGAATGCGGGATGCTGAATTCATGCAATTCTCCAATTTTTTTAAATAAAAATGCTGTGTATATCAGTTATACAATTCTCTGATTTTGCTTAAGTGAAAACAGATGGTTGTAATGGTGAGAACAGCACAAATAAAATTACATCGATTTCTTGAAAAAAATAACTGATGAGAAATGGTTCTTGCAATTCTAATGTTATTGATTGATTGCTCTTTGATTAAATTCTTAGTCAGCCGCCATTTTGAAAATGGCTGTTGCCTTTTCAAATTAGTGACTTTTCAGGAGAGGAGTACAGATAAGCTGCAATTTTAAAAGGCTATCATCAAGATATAACTTGTCCTGATGTGACTCAAATGAATATACACATTATTAATAATAATAACAGAAGAATGATAATACGTCAAAATCATGAAATAGCCAAGCATGATTTGCAAAATGTGATTTTGCATGTAAGTGTTACCTTAATTATTTCCATTTAATCTGTCAAATGCTAGAATTTCATTCATGCATTATAGTTCAATGTATATTCATCAACAATGAATGCTTCCCAGCCATCAGCTCAGGCCAGAAGTTATAAAATTTTTTAAGGATTTCTATCAACCAAAGAAAGTGTATATATGGGAGGAAGGTAAGTCAAAGAATTTGTCAAGAAATGACAAATGAAGACTTGAAAGATCTTATAGCAGCCGGCAGTGAAAGAAGAGGTAAAGAAGATTCCTGTAACTTACAGGGAGTGAACTGCTAAACAAGGCAGAGAAACTGCCTAATTTTGCAATGGAATTTGAGCCAAATTAAGAAACAAAAGGATACCTTACGGAAGGCACTGAAAAACTCTGCACTCCCACAAAACTGTTAAAAAGTTGTGTCGGTCATTGTCCCAAGCAAAAATCACCAGCTTTTTAAAAGAATAATTGCATCTCATACTTATTGAACAATAATAAAAATCCTTTCCATCAACATGTGTTTCTTTTTCCCCTTTTAAATATAAGAATATTGGTTAATCTCCCATAAGTGGGGTGAGTGCGAGAGTTTTTACTTGGCACAACTTCAATTTGGTTGCGGTTTTTGGCTATATGTTTTCTTGTGGAGCTTTATTTAGGTGAGTGTAATAAGTGTAAGTTTAGTGTAGCCAGAATTTTTTTAAAAATTTAATTTTGAAATATTGTGTTTATTTTTAAAAGTTTTACTGTTTAATATTTGCAGGAGGTTAAGCTATAGACTTTTTCTAGTTTCCCCCCCCTTGCATGTGGCAATTGATGTTTAATGCTTAAAGTTTTGAACGAAAGTTGCTTTAATGTGTTGAATTCCACGACGAGAGTAACTCGTACATATTTTATTGAGTTTATGATACATCCATTGTTAGTGAATTTGAATATATTTACTTGGTTTATTTTTTTTCTTTGTGAGTGAAGAGACATTTGGTATGTATTATTTTTGTAGTAATTTATGAAATATTGTGTTTATTTTTAAAAGTTTTACTGTTTAATATTTGCAGGAGGTTAAGCTATAGACTTTTTCTAGTTCCCCCCCCCTTGCATGTGGCAACCAAGAGATACGGAATGCTTAAGTGTGTTGAATTCCACAACAATAATAAGTTGTACATTTTAGCAAGCTTATGATACATCCATTGTTAGTGAATTTGAATATATTTACTTGGTTTATTTTTTTTCTTTGTGAGTGAAGAGACATTTGGTATGTATTATTTTTGTAGTAATTTATTTTGGTATTTTTTAGTTTCGTGTTTGTGACTTGAATTTTTTGTAATTTATTTTAAATTTACGTTTTAGTTTGTAGTAATTTATATTTGTGTTGTATTTACCATTATTTTTGTTTGGCGATGTCATATTTTACATCGCCCATTTTTTTGCAATTGGCAGCTGTGAAATTAAACGGCAATGTGAAGTTTGACATCGGAAACGAAAAGAGTTTGGAGCTAACTTACCCTGCTTATGGATGAGCCAGAATATTTAGGTTTGTTTAAATTATTAATGATTTATTATTCTATATTATAGAATTTTCTAATGAAAATTAACTCTGCGAAATGCATGTATTAATGACGCAGCCCCTCATTCAGCAAGGATTCATTAATGAATCCTTGCTGAATGGCTGCATCCTTCTGCCATTCAGCAAGGATTCACTGTACAGACATATTAAATATGTAAGTAATATTATGAGGAAAGCAGAAAATAAACAGATATCATACATGAAAAAAGTAAATTATTTATAAGATGGCTTACCCAAATTTGAAGTTTAACTCTTTTGTCTTGCCTAAAGACAGTTTTCACTTTGAAGTCAATGCCCACGGTGCTGACGAAGGCTGACGTGAAAGAATCCTCAGCATATCTAAATAAAAATGACGTTTTTCCTACACTGCTATTCCCAATTATCAATATTTTGAACATATAGTCAAAATTTTGATCTGCTGCATCCTTCTGCCATTTTTCCTGACCAGCTGCCATCTAAAAATAACAGATTACTTCAAAATGACATTAAGTACACAAGCATACAACATTCAATGCTACTTTTTTTCATATTATTCAGATGTATAAAATTTTTTAGGTAAGAAAAATTCTATTATGAATTTTTTTTCAAATTGCTAATCAAGATTTCTACATTTTACATGGCAAATGTTTCACATATTAGTTACAAACTACAAATTTATTCAGATGAAAAAAATCGCAGCTAACTTTACTATTGCTAACCTAAAGTGAAATATCAGGTGCACACCATATTTGTTGATTTCATTTTCAGATAAATGACTTTAATCTGGTAAGCTGTCTTCATACTGATCTATTGGTGAGAAATGCGAAAAACAATTTCTGCATGTCAATTCACACAAGGAAGGCAACTTATGCTTTAAGTTAAGTTGTCATACGCAAACATGAGATGGCTTTTCATCTCAGAAACTTGGGAAAAAACATGAATTTTTGTGTGGTATTTTGGCTTTCTACAGTTATGTTTTTAAATTAAAATGGATACAATTTCTGCTAGATTAAAACTTACTTTTACTTCTTGCCTTGCATAAAAGAACAGTGGTTTATATTAATACGTGAGAAATGGCTGCAGCAAGGAAATGCAAAAAATTTAATTGATAAATGTGCTCAAGTGACATTGCAATTTCTTTTAATTACTTTCACATGACGCATTCTCAAGTCAGTGAATTTCTAGCCCTTATTGAACCACTTATTCAAAAGCAGAACACTAATTTTTGCCAGAATATCACAGAAAACAAACACTCGGAAGATTGGAATAGAAGATCCCAGAAAAGGATCATTGTATATATCTACCTTAATTTATTTTTTATGAATTTTGTTGAAAAATTACAAATTCTTAATTGCACATTTCAATTTTAGAGTTCTTGGGGGTAGAACACCATAAAATATTTTGCATGATGTATGTGCTTCCATTAATATAATTGGTTTAATTAATGAAATAAAAATTATACTTTGTTTCAATGATGTATGTAGCATTTACAGGATTACGAAGCTATATATCACACTTGAAAACAGAAGCAGTTATTTAAAAAAAAAGTTAACACTAGAAATTTAAAAAAGTGTTTTAAAATACAGTTTCTGCCTTATGTACAGATTTTTTACCTTAAATGTAACTGCAATTTCTTCAATTAATCATTCATATATTAATAAAGAGCCACTGTCTAAAGTCTTTTTTTTTTAAAAAAAAGTCACTTTTGTCTAAAACTCATTAAAAGTTCATTTTATTTATATAGATTATTTATATTATATATATATATTTTCTTTGTTTTAAAAATTGAATTTCTTAATTAGTAAATTTGCTAATGCTCATGCAAATGTTCTTTAAATTAATGAAAAATTATTATCGAGATCAAACCTCTGGTTCAGTTCTTGTACAAGTTGTCCAAAAAGTGATCATGCATGTTTCGGAAAACAAATATAAACCATTAAAGAGGTAGAACTATTTCATAAAATCAGCTTTTGTCCAAGATTTAATTTTGTCTTAATTTAAATGTCACATATTGCCAAGCTTCATTTCTATATAAATGATAGTTTTCTTAGTTTTCTAAGCAAATGGTTTACCCATCAGTAGTCATTTAAAACTAAGAACTCACAAGATTTTTTAAATTAGGTAGAACAGCAACTTTATACTAATACCAATATCGTTTTTGCTAGTCTGGCATCAGCTGAAACAGAATCAGATCAGAACAGTCAAATCATCTTATGAATTGGCTAAAGGTTCATTGTTATAAGAACAATAATGCATACAATGCTGCCAGGAAGGCGAAAATTATATTTATAGTGAATGAAAAATGCAAACTTCATTGCACCCCCCCCCCAAAAAAAAATTCAAAGTAGGTAAAAATTTGGTCTATTTGTACCATCATCAAAGGTGGGAAAAGCAAGGCACAAACTTGCAATGTAAGTATGCAGTATCATCTGATTTTTTCCCTCGATATGTTATCTCCATGTGCTCGTGGAAAGCTGGTTTTCAGACCTCAACTTCAGGAAAGTAAATAAGTACCTGTGATATTCTGAAACTAGCCATAAATTTTTCTATAAATATTTTTTTTTAAATACTAGTGCTGCCCCTGCTGATACATGCATCCACAATTTTTGATTCCAGAACGCAACACCTTATCCTTTAAGCAACAACAGTAACCTTAAACTGATGTACACATTTAAGTAAAATCCAGAATTAACCAGGAATTATGAAAACCCAGAATTAATTTCTCACAGCAATCTAGTGCTTTAGGATACTGTGTAATAATTATCAACCACATCTCATTTATGGTTGATTACTCTTAATAAACTTGAAAATTTTCCTTCAAATAATTTTTTAAGATACTCTATTAACTTATGCATTCTTTATTATCATCTGAAATTTTTATTAAGATCAGTCCATTTGACATTATTAAAATATTTTCCAAGAATTTTTGAAAGTATATTTATTTAAAAACTGTGGTTCAAACTGGACATTTGAAACCAGATATCTGAAACTGTTATGAAAAGTTGCAGTTCAGTCAACTAGTGTGGAAAATACCACCTCTGAGCTCACTTCTGATTGGTTACCCACTTTCGCACGAACATGTTGGTGTGAATTGGCCTGTAATCTTAATTTCTTCAACGTTAGGCAATGATTCTGTAAAGGAAAGCATTTTATTTATTTATTATGCATCATATTTTCTTTATTTAATTATTTACAACTGATCATGGCAAGTGTGAAATGTCGAGAATGTGCACGATACCAAGTTTGCACAATTCTGATATTTGTTTAAATAAAAACAGACTGCTGTGTATACAAGAACCAAATATCATCAATACATTATATAATCCTTATTTAATGATTAAAATTTGTATTTTTGATTGATAAACTTGTCTTGTTTTGGCACGTTGATGCTGTCTACCGATTTGCAATATATATCAATAGTTTGGCAAAATTGCAAATATGCATCCGATAACTAACTTTTACCAGAATCTGAAAGACATTAACTTCATTTTTAATGGAAGCTGAAATTATTTTGGATATAGTTTGACCATCTTAAATGCAACCTTGGCTGGCATTCTGCCCAAACACAGACTTGTCCAAAAGGGGCGTTATTATTTACTGCGTGAGTTAAGAGAACATTTATATGCTGGAGGGAATGAATTCACTCTGAATGGCATATGCGTGTTTGCGCTCATGGTCGCGGATGAGGCAGTCGAACTATACTTATATGTATTATTATGCTGTTGACTGTGAAAGTTGGCTGCCATCAAACCACGAAAGTCAGCGGAGATTGCTATGAAAATTGCACCAACTGTTCCTGCGAAATTCTGAAGCAACTAGTCCTTCCTTACTTAATAAACAATCAGAATTTGACGCACTTCATAAAAAGACTTTTGTTGATTTCTACCATTTTGTTAGGTCCTTTGATTTTAATGGGAATTTTGATTAGTCATATTCAGATGATTATTTGTGTCCATTAATACATAATTTTTTGGTTAGAGTAGAGAGAGGCTACCCCTTGTATTATTGTGATATTGTTGTTTCATTTATGGTAGCCTGAGTAGTTGAATGTTATGGAAACCCTATTATGACGTAATCGGTTGCATGATTGCGGTAAATTCGTAAAGGCTTCTTCTGTGTGTTGGTCAGGAAGTATATTGCTTGTTTTGTGATTTAGACGGTAAAATGGCTGAATGTGGTAAGATTAATTTGAAATTTCTGTATGATTTGGAAAGAAAGGGGAAAAGAGCATTACTTGACTGGTGTGTAAATGAAGGTTTACTTATTAGCCATTATTAAGTGTCCTGTTTGGAGAAAGGAAATTCGTATGGTCGAATGTCAGACGATAACGATGCTACGGAGGATACTTTTTACTCTTATTTTGTGAATTTATGTGGCGACGCCAGTGTACAGATTCTAGTTCAGATAATTTTAGGAAGTTTTTGGGTGCTGTTAAGGAATTTTGTTTGACTGAAGACATGTTAATTCGTAAATATGGTAAGTGGATATTTCCTTTGTGTAGTGCGAAGATGAATTTCCTTTTTTATGTTATTTTATTGTTTGATTTAAAATGTAGTTTATTGACATTATATATATATATTTTTTTGTTGGCTGCTCCTTTGACTTTTTAAGTAAATATAATTCAACGTGTACATAGGCAAACAAAGTGCACAATACCTAGTTTGAGCATGATTTTTTTTTTTTTTTAAGTGAAAATAGGTCAGTGTGTACATGGATAAAAAAGGGAGTGCGCAATGCCAAGTTTGTGCAATTCTCTGATTTTTTTAAAGTGAAAATAAGTCGATGTGTACATGGATCTTGGGCTGTGCAATTCTTTGTCTTGTTATTTTGACTTTGCGTAATTGCCGCTACATAAGCCAAAATTACACGTCAAAGAATAGCACAAACTCGGTATCCATGCACCGTGAAAAATCACAAATTTTTTACAAGGAGTATATTTTTACCAATTCTTTTTTTATAGCAGGATCTTACAACTATGAAAATAATTCATTGCTTTTTATTGTGCAGAATTCATAATTTTTTTTTTTTTTTTTCAAATGCAAGCACTAACAGTTAATTTAGATCTTTACCTATAAAAACAAAAGATGGCTTCTGAAAAACCAATTGAGCTAATATCAAACAAAAGCACACATGTTATGTGTGTGCAGTTATATCCTGCTTATCCATAGCTGGCATTAAATTCCGCTGCTAGCCAACACTTTTACAGTCGACAGTATAACATGCAAATACCTTATTTAGCTGGTATTTCTTGATATGCTGATGTCATGTAGTATCCCTAAAGCAAGCAGATCATGTATTAAAACTCCTTAAATAAGTTTTTGAACATGACTACGTTGCATTATTATTATTATTTGCCAGCTCATTCAAACATATCCATAACCAACTGCATTTTTCCTCTTCAAAGTTTTTAAAAATCCATTATTCAACAAATAGAAGTTTGCTTTAAATTATTCAGATAATGGCAAAGCACTCTACA